CTGAGCACTTTTCCTTTCTCCCCAAGAAAAGTTGATGAGACTTTAACATTGACACGGATGAGGTTGTTTCTTCTTCTCTTATTTGATATGATGCCAGACCAGGGAGCAGTCACCCAGAGGGCTGGTCCACAGCTGCTCAGTTGACTGGCATGAGCTGTGCTCTCACAGCAGGCTGATCCCTGCAGGCCACTCCCCCTACCTGTGCATGAATCCCATGCACTGGGCCTCTAGTCCTATATAATAAAGAACTAATATGCTAATTAAACCAAACATATGCTAATTAGATCGGACATCCTTCCGGACGACCTTCCAGACAAAACCGCGGCGCTGCAGATGGGGGCCGAGGCAGAGGCAGCTGCTGCGGCTGCCGGGGCTGAGGCAGCTGTGGGGGCAGTGGGGGTTGAGCTCCTTGCACAAATTTTGTGCATCAGGCCTCTAGTAATATATATGAAAACATCATATAATCTACAAACACAGAACACTAGAAGCTGCTATTGTAAATATTTTGATCATTATACTGTTCCATGTCATTATAACCTATGGGCAAGGCTTCTTGATAACAATTATTTGGGAACTTTCACTAAATGGTTTTGAATGGGGGGGGAAAAAAAAGAGGAAAGCTTGAAAAAACTTCTAATTTCCTAAGAATTTATTTCCTGAAGAGATTGGAGTTGTTGTAAGATTAGAGTCTGATCCTCAACTGTAATTTCTGTATTCTTCTTTATAAATTATTTTTAGAGCATTTTATAATTCAAAAAGATTTTTAGTGCCCCCTTGTAATGTATTTTCTTTATAGTATTAGAATTTTAAAGGTTTTCTATACATGATAAAGTGGGATTTCTTGATTCCTGGGAACTAAAAGGATATTTGAAGAACAAGACTTTAATTGTATAATATAAATAAATATAAAAGAAATTACTTTAAGAAAATATATCTAATATGCAACTATTTTGTTTTATAATGTATAAATGTATTTATAAATTTATATAATCAAACCTCTTAAATAAAATTTCTCAAAGTATCAATATAAATTGATTAGATGAAATGAACTTACCAAAAAAGGCAAGATGAATGCCAGGATATTCAAAATTAGGAAAAATCTCTTCATAATTGCACCTAAAATTGAAATTAAAAGTATTAAATTAAAAGAGTCTGTTACTAATAATTTAGGAGTGATTTAAAACAATGTGTTTTTTTTAAGGAAATAAAAGCAGATTGATTTAGCCAATGTGGAAAATCTATTTTATCAAAAGCTTTGGAACACCCAAACTTGGAGTATATAATTTATAATTTTAATTTTTGGCTATATTACTGAAAGTATCACTACAAGGTTAATAATTTATTTACCATATACCTAGAATATACTAGGAAAAAGGCAG